ACATGCTGGAATTTTTGTAACCTTCTCTCGATCACGAAGTTCAGAGATAGTACTTACCAAGGCACTTTCCGCTAGAGCCTCAAATGAACTGTTATAAATTCTTGTAATCTCAAAATTACCTGATTCCAATTCAACATGTCAAAAACTTAGGGTCCGTTTGGCTCTAAAAAATATTTTTTTTTTTTTTTATTTTTTTATTTTTTAAAAATAGTTTTTAATTTCAGTTTTTTGAAAATTAGAAAATATGTTTAGTTAATAAAAACTTATATTCAAAAATAAAAATATGAAAATATATTTGGTGTCTATTTTTAAAAAAATAGAAATGAATAAATAATTATTACATAATTAAATTAAAATATAATTATTAAAAAATTTCATTACATAAATTTTACATGGAGTTATGCAAAAACAATAAAATTGATAAGAAATTTCATAACACAAAAATTTATTTAATTTTTTGATTAACTAAATCAAATTGTCAAGACGATTACATGACAGTTCACAAAGTTTACATGAGAATCTACAATGTTGATATGACAGTTTATTATGTTATTGTGGCAGTACAAGATGGATAATAATGTAGTAAATGAATTTAATTGATTTTTTCTAAGTTTGAGGGCTTAATTAATATTTTATAAAGTTTAAGAACTTATTTAATTTTTAAAAAAATTAAGTTATTATTTAAATTTAAAATATAAATAATTATTAAGATATTTAATACATTAAATATAAAAATACTAAAAAATTAGTTTAAGTACCACATTGGGTGTAAAAAAATAGTTTAACTATTATATTGATTTTTTTTCAAAAGTTTGAGGGTTTTAGTTACAATTAAATAAAAAAATTATTGTTAGAAAGATTTGAACATGTATAAGTTAAGTTTAAAATCTAGATTTCATATTTTTCTATTTCGCAAATTTCCAAAATAGTTTTAATGAAAATATTGAAAATATCTTTTATATGTTTTCATATTTTCACTTATTTTTATTTTATTTTCTAGAAATCATTTTCTAATTTTACCACTAAACATATTTTCTTCAATGTTTTTTATTTTCTAAGAAAATAAAAATAACATATATATTTTTTAAATCAAACAAACCCTTAACCTTCAAACATGTGTTAAAATACCATGAGTAACCCAAAGTTCAACAACGAGGAGTGAACATTTTCCTGGGTCATGTGTGAAACCAAAAATCTAATCACCCTCAAATTATATAAAAGTATCAATTCTAAAATTATCATATACTTTGATAATTTTTTGTAAGCAATTATTCAATCTCAATAATATATTTTTTACTTTTATTATCACTAGTGTTGAAGTCCTTATAATAAGTTGAATTAATCAATTGGTTATTTTTATTAATTTAATTTTAAATAATAATTTTATTATCATAATATTAAAGTGTTTATCAAAGTAAAACTACTTAAGAGATATAAGTTTAGTTCCTATCATAAAATGTAACATCTCGAATCTCGGGTTAACTAGTTCGAGTCAACCTGAGATCCATAAAGTTGAGCCAAACGACTCAATAGAATAGTTGGACCAAGTTTAGTGTTTGTGGGCTTGAGTTTGGGCCAAGAGTTTTAAGATGGGGATGAGTGTTTTATGAAATAGAAAGTGGAGGGACTAAAAGTGTAAATTTCCCCTTTTTAGTTAAAGCTGAAAATCTCCTCCCTCTAATATGATTTTTACGTGAACCGTCCCTTATTTTAGCTCACCAAACACTCATCTTCTTTTTCCTCCATCTTTTCTCCTTTCTTCTTCTATTTCAAGTTGAAGGATTAAAGATTTCAAGTTTAATTTGGGTCAAGCTAAGGTAAGATTATTAATCCTCATCCTTCTAGCTTCATTTCAAGTTTCATTTTTCAAGTTTTAGCCTTGAAACCAAAAATGATTTTTATGGAGAATTAAGAGAATCAAACGATTCAAGCTCTAGGTTAGTGGATTCAAGTTATAGATAATGTCTTTAACTTAATCCAAGAAATTAGTTAAGATAGTAACCTCTTTCCTTACTTTTGCTTAGTGAAGGAGGTGGGGAATAACTCAAAACCAAGAGGGAAAGAAAAGTTGACTTCGAGTTAATTGGGGAGAGTTCTAGCCATCAAAAGAAACAAGGTAACCATACTTATAACTCTTTGATACTCTTTGTAGGTCATTAGAGATATGACATTTGTTTAAGAGTTTAGTTGAAGCATGATGAGTTAATTCTATCGTAGATTTTAGGTTTTAAAACTATAGCATGTTTAAAAGCTTTCTTTATTACCCTTATATCACACGTAAAACATTAATAATGATTGAGGACCTCACTAATGTCTTTGCGTTAGAAGAATAGAATTTTTTTCGTGCTTATTTTGTGCACTCTACAGCTTGGGTCTCGATACTAGAGGGCCAATCATTTTATGAGAAAATTCATGAATTTCTAGGCAGTGGTATCGAGTAAGTCACGATCTCAAGACTCCCATGTGTGATATCGAGACTTATTTTCTAGCAGCCTTTTTAGTATTGATACTTACATAAAGTATCGAAACTATTGTTATTGGATTTGATACTGAATGGTCAATATCGATACCAACAATCTATTTTGGGCAAGAAAACCCAATTTTTAAGGGAATTGGCTCGAGGTACCCCAACACTTCAGTATATCATTAAATAAGACTACAAGTGAGAACATTAATGATGTTTAATTACATTTAGAAACGAGATCAATTAGGGGACATAAATCTAGCCTTGATTGATTCTCGGGAAACGATCAAGACACTCGAGTTCTTTTAGTAAGATTTTGGTGTCGAAGTATAGAATCAATATGGATATCCTTAGGTAGTGCGTGAGGCACTTTAAACCGACTAACTAGGGTCGAGGCCCGACACTCGCAAAGGGTAGGTTAGTCGAGCGTGAGCTTCAAGATGCAGAGCCCTCAGCCGCACCATGATGTCTACCATAGAGTAGAGAGTGCAATATACAAGTATACGTACTATTGCAGTTTATCAGTTAGCTTGAGCATTACATGAACACTTTTAGTATGACTTAGTTGTTAGTGTGGCACCGGGCTAGTTAGCTCAACGTTTGGAATTTGTTTCCTTACGTAGGTTAGTCGAGGAGCAGTCAGAGGATCCTTTTTGCCAGCAGTGATTCAGATCAGATTAGTGCAGAGATACGTATCGAGTTTATCTTTAGAGGGCATGTATATTTGTAAACATGTTTTGTATATTCGAGTCGTAACTTTTTTAAATGATGGTATTATGATTTGAATTATTATTTTTGGGAGCTCCTGATGTAAACCATTTTATTTAAATAGTAGTTGAATTATCTTAACATGAGTATTTACAAAATATCATTTCAGATTGAAAAATTAAAGAAAACTTTGGTTAGTCACTTCGGTGGTTTCGTGTAGCATTCAGATCGACCGATTGTTTGTCGTACCGGTCTAGGGTGTTACATAAAATATTATGTCTATCAGAGGCGGAACACAATGAAGACTAGTGGGGCCATGGGCCCCCCAAAATTTGAAAAACTATAATTTTGACCCTTAAATTTTTAAAAAATTTAATTTGGCCCCACAAAATTTTAGGAATTCAGATTAAGCTTTAAATTTTTTGAATGTTCTTAATTAAACCCCTCCCGTAATTTTAAAAAATTCTCATTAAGCCTCTCAAAATTTCAAAAATTTTAGTCAGACCCCAATTTTTTTGGAAAAAAAAATTTAAATTGAATCTTTTTGAAAAAATTAATTTTAACCTCTAAGGTTTTTAAAGTTTTAAGTAAACTCCCCTAACTCTATCACCAAGTTCCGCCATTGATGTATGTCCTTGTGTATTTCACTCTTTAAAGTATTTCTGAATCCACTATTGAAATGTATGAATTTATCAGAGAAAAATTACATTAAAATAAATTGATTGAAAAAAATATTTTGAAAACTGAATTTAAAGAGATTAATGGACAACTTTATCGATCAAATAGCAATGACTCAATTTAGTTAATTAGAATAGCTAACTATTTAGATCTAAAGGCTGTCTAAGAATAACTAGACTAACCTACCGACTCTAATTAAGAATGTAGAAATAGAAAACAATATCACTTATTAGAACGGTAGAGATGTAGTTAACAATCCTTTACTTAAGATAACAAGCCTTAATAATTTATTTTGGTTATTAATGGATCCAGGATTCATAAATAGGGTTGTTAACAAGGCATCTAGACTCATAAATTACTTAATTATATTCAAAAAAAAGTTTAATTCAATTATTAATTAATTAGAACGAATTACCAAACAAGTAAAATTTATGTATCTAGACACACCATTCACATAGCTCAGGAGTTTAATTGATTTTTTTTATAATATATAGCCTTAATATTTTTAATATAAATTTATAATTCTATCCTTTATATATAACTACTTTTTATGTATGGGCATGAAATGCATTAAAATAGAAAGAAAATACTCCACATATATGCTTATTTAAAACCTTAACTCTTCAGATGTTAACTCTTAAACTTTAAACTTCGAATTCTTAATTTAAACTTTAGGTCTTAAACATTAGCGTTTAACATTTAATAATCATATTTCTGACATTCATGGTGCTCGAATTCAAAAGCTCAAAGAATAACAATAATTTCATTACAACATACGATAAAAAATGATATTTTTAAATACTAAAAAAACAAAAAAAAAACAATATAAACACACAATTGCAAGATTAATATAATTAAAATGCAAAATTTACATCAATACATTGCTTAACAGGATTATAATAAGAAAATATTGGAGCCTCATTTAAGGTTTTATAATTATATATGCAACCCTTATTTAATATAATTTTTAATAGAATTGTAGCAACAAATTTGTTCGAGACTGGAAGGAAAAGCAGCAATAAGAAGCGGACAACGTGAAGAAACAAAAACATCCAACACTCGCTCACTCACACCTTGTATTGCATATCCAAACTGTGTGAGACTCATGCATTCATCCTCTGCGTACGTGTCTTCATCTCTTTGATCCACGTGTTCCCTTTTGCATGTACCTCTCTCCCTTCCTTCTCTCCCACGACTCTTTCCAACCTCAACTGATTCATCCATTTTCAAACTTCCTTTTTGGAACAAAAATGTTTAGCCTTCTCATTTGCCATTCAATGTAGAAACCAAGAGCAGAAAAAAACCCCCATTTTTGTCTTAGTCCAAGAGGAGACACGGTGAAAGAAGGGCAATGGCAGCGAACGAGTGGATAAATGGGTACTTGGAAGCGATACTGGACAGCGGGGCAGCAGCCATCGAGGAGCAGCATAAGCCGGCTGTGGATTTGAGAGAAAGGGATCACTTCAATCCGACAAAGTACTTTGTTGAAGAGGTGGTCACTGGTGTTGATGAAACCGATCTACATAGGACATGGATCAAGGTTGTCGCCACCCGGAATGCCAGGGAACGTAGTTCAAGGCTCGAGAACATGTGCTGGCGCATTTGGCACCTTACCCGAAAAAAGAAGCAGGTCCCTCCTCTATCCTTATCAGATATCTGTGTGTATGTAATGTAATGTAACTATGCATGTATATATATGTATGTATATCTGCTCATGTAGTATGGTACCCTGTGTTTGAACGAATTCCTCATTGAAGATAGTTAACTCCGTGATGTATTCTTTATAGATATGCGTGTGTATGTAACCATGTATGTATAAATATGCATATAACTTAGTGTGTATGTCTTTGGATGTCTTATGCGTATGCGAGGACTAGTTTGATTCTTAATTCATGGCTTTCATATTTATATCTGCTCATCAAGCTGTATGGTACCTTGTGTTTGAACAAATTCCTTATTGAAGATAGTCAACTCTGTGAATGGGCAATTCTGTAAATGCTTCTTCCTGAATATGGCTAAATGAGAGTTTTGCTAGAATATTTCTAAAGTGTGACATTTCACCCTTTAAATATGATAACATAGCCCGAGCTCCAAGAAACCTCAAAATGAGTTTTTACTTACTGAGAGTGAAGCAATTTAGAGTACTCAAATTACGATCTTATGATGTAAATAGTTGGAATGGGAAGAATTGCAACGATTGGCAAAGCGGAAGTGGGAACGTGAACTTGTGCGCAAGGATGCCACTGAGGACTTGGTTGAAGACTTGTCAGAAGGAGAGAAGGGAGATGCTGTTAGTGAGTTGATTAGCGCAGAGACCCCGAGGAAAACGTTCCAAAGAGACTATTCCAACTTGGAAGTGTGGTCAGAGGACAAGAAGGGAAAGAAACTTTACATTATCCTTATCAGGTATCACTTTCCCTCCTCATATGTATTAATCTTGAATTAATCTTAAGATTTGTTATTGGAGCAGGTGGAACAACCATCATCCGTGTCTCTCAATTTCCCAATGGGTTACACAATTCAATAATGGACATTTTTTAATGCATGTATTTCTTAAATTTCTTCGTTTCATTATTCATAGAAGCAAAAAGAACGTAAATCAAATAACAGTGCCTGAAAGTTACCGTAATGATTTGACTCCAAGTGGCATGACTTGCTTGCATTTTAATGAAAGGGAAACTTTAGAGATTATGTAAGGAATTCAGCTAATTCATTGAAGCACTGTTATATTTCTTCTCACTCAGTTTGCATGGGTTAGTCCGAGGAGAAAACATGGAGCTTGGTAGAGATTCTGACACTGGTGGACAGGTAAATGCAGTATTCTACAATAAAAAAATTATTGCTTGCATTTTGGCTTCACTTAATTTATTTTATGTTTTTAAAACAATAAAATGGTCCACAGGTCAAATATGTGGTAGAGCTGTCTAGGGCTCTTGCAAAGATGCCAGGAGTGTATAGAGTAGATCTTTTTACTCGACAAGTCTTATCACCTGAAGTTGATTGGAGCTATGGAGAGCCTACAGAAATGTTAACGACCGCAGGTGAAGATGCAGATGGAAACGATGTTGGAGAGAGTAGCGGGGCGTACATTATAAGGATCCCTTTTGGTCCACGTGATAAGTACCTTCATAAAGAATTATTGTGGCCTTATATTCAAGAATTTGTAGATGGTTCTTTGGCTCACATTCTTAATATGTCAAAAGTTCTCGGTGAACAAATTGGTGGGGGCCAACCTGTATGGCCATATGTTATCCATGGCCATTATGCTGATGCAGGGGACAGTGCTGCTCTTCTCTCAGGTGCTTTAAATGTCCCCATGGTTTTAACAGGACACTCTCTTGGGAGAAACAAACTTGAGCAGCTTCTTAAACAAGGACGACAGTCAAAGGAAGACATCAATTCAACATACAAGATTATGAGAAGAATTGAAGCAGAAGAATTTTCCCTTGATGTTGCAGAACTAGTTATCACTAGTACACAGCAAGAGATTGAAGAGCAGTGGGGGCTTTATGATGGGTTTGATGTCAAGCTTGAAAAAGTTTTACGTGCCCGTGCTAGACGTGGGGTAAACTGTCATGGTCGATACATGCCAAGAATGGTGGTAACAATATTTCTCCCTTTTTTTTCCTTACTCTTTTCCCCTATTTCGAGATATTGTTTTGATCACTGCTTCCTTCATATGGGTGTTACAGATGATGTGAAAAGAGAATTACCACAGAAGTATATTTTTCCTTGTTTTGAAACATATTGTTAAATCCACGTTGTCTAGATCAATGAGATGACACTGAACTATCTTGTTTGCACCTCTTATTTTAGCTTTGAAGTACAAGTTGTTTGCAGGTTATTCCCCCTGGCATGGACTTCAGCAATGTTGTAGTTCAAGAAGATGCCCCTGAGATTGATGGAGAAATTGTCTCGGTTATTGGAGGAGGTACTGATGGATCTTCTCCCAAGGCAATTCCAACAATATGGTCAGATGTAAGTAGGTCAGCTATGTTATACACTCATCATTTAACGGATCTGTTATTGATTCTTCCTATCATTGGCAGGTGATGAGGTTTCTTACAAATCCCCACAAGCCAATGATCTTGGCCTTATCTAGACCTGATCCAAAGAAGAACATAACCAATCTTTTGAAAGCCTTTGGAGAATGTCGTCCTTTACGAGAGCTTGCTAATCTTGTAAGTTAGTTTGTGCGACAATTTTGATTTACAGAGTGGAAGAAAGGCTACTAATACTATTTTTTTTTGCAGACACTTATAATGGGGAACCGGGATGATATTGATGAAATGACTGGTCCGAGTGTTAGTGTGCTCGTAACAGTATTGAAACTCATTGACAAGTATGACCTCTATGGACAGGTTGCCTATCCAAAGCATCATAAACAGGCTGATGTTCCTGATATTTATCGACTTGCAGCAAAAACAAAGGTTAATTAGAGTTCATTTTTGTTGGAGCTAATTCATGTGCTGTTGTTTTTATATTAACTGTAAGTAAATATCGCAGGGAGTTTTCATAAATCCAGCTCTGGTTGAGCCTTTTGGACTTACACTAATAGAGGTTGTTTTTTTATCGGTTGAAATTTGTTTTTAAAAGCCATCTTATCAAGTTCAATGAGATAGAATCTTTATCTCTACTTATTTGACATAATGCAGGCAGCTGCCCATGGCCTGCCGATGGTGGCAACAAAAAATGGTGGACCGGTTGACATTCAGCGGGTAAGAATGATGAATATATTTTTCAACCATTAGATATAGCCGGTGGACTTTCCAGTGCTTTCAAATATAAACTTTTGCCAGGAAAGACGAGCACAAGAGACTACAAACTTGAGAGGGATTATTTTTCTGAAAATATTAAAAGATTCTGAACATCAGCGTTGTCGTCTATACGGTTTGTCTACAAAATATTACAATAGTTCCAATTCTTGACATTACTTTTTTCCCTTAAAAAATTTTAGGCACTAAATAATGGCCTTCTGGTGGATCCCCATGATCAGAAAGCAATTTCTGATGCCCTGTTGAAGTTGGTATCGGAGAAAAACCTATGGCATGAGTGCAGAAAGAATGGTTGGAAGAATATACATCTGTACTCATGGCCTGAACACTGCCGAACATACTTGACAAAGGTGGCTGCTTGTCGGATGAGACATCCTCAGTGGCAAACAGATACACCGGGGGATGACATCTCTTCAGAAGTATCATCTTTAAATGACTCACTTAAAGACGTGCAAGACATGTCCCTTAGGCTCTCAGTTGATGGAGATAAAGCTTCACTAACCGGATCCCTTGACCCTGTAGCTTCATCTTCTGGTGAACCTGAGCTGCAAGACCAAGTAAAACAAGTCCTAAGCAAGATAAATAAGCCGGAAACAAACTCGAAAGAAACTGAAGGAGTGAAGCTTGAAAATGTGGGAAGCAAGTATCCTATTTTGAGGCGGCGGCGTGGATTAGTTGTTTTAACACTTGACTGCTATGACAGCAAGGGGTTCCCTGACAAGAAGATGGTTCAAATTATACAAGACATATTTAAGGCCATTCGGCTGGACGCTCAAATTGCAAAATTGACGGGGTTTGCTATATCAACAGCTATGCCAGTCTCAGAAACAGTAGAGTTTTTTAAATCAGCAAAGATTCAAGTAAATGATTTTGATGCTTTGATCTGTGGCAGTGGCAGTGAAGTGTATTACCCTGGAACTTACACAGCAGAAGATGGAAAGCTTTTTTCCGATCCTGATTATGCGTCTCATGTTGCCTTTCATTGGGGCTATGAGGGTCTAAAGAAGACAATTTGCAAGTTGATGAACCCTGAGGGTGAACAAGATTCTCCATGTGTCGAGGAAGACATGAAATCGAGCAATGCTCACTGTGTTTCATATTTTGTAAAGGATCCGACTAAGGTATATATATATATATATACACACACATTGGTGACTTATGAATTACTAGAATTTGTTGTTTGGATCTTATGGTGGCTGCTTTTACAGGCAAAGAAAGTCGATGATTTGAGGCAGAAGCTTAGGATGCGAGGTCTCCGTTGCCATCCGATGTATTGCAGGAACTCGACTAGAATACAAGTTGTTCCTCTCCTTGCATCTCGAGCACAGGCACTCAGGTAGAGAGTTCTATAAACTTATGCAGACTGATTCTTTATATTAAGATGGATCTTGATTCTTAAGGTACATGTCTGATACTTGTATCCAACATGTGCATTCGGATATGAGCCTACCTCCAAAACATGGTAAAACTTAAAAAAAAGTGAACATACCGGTGTCCGACACATGCCCATGTCTCACACTCAAGTCCGAATATCATAGGTTTAAATGCTTTAAAGAATGAGACAATCAGAGGTGCATATGGGCATATGTAACATGTAAACTAAGCCCATATCAATCACAAGACAACTGATATCAAAATGTTCTATTTCGTCTAATAAGAAGCTTTTTTTATAAGATCTTTCATTCATGATAAAGTTGATTAATACTCAAGAACTCCACTGTTGATTTTTTCAAGTTGATTTCATGTGTAGTTATTCAATCACTGGTGTTCTCTTTTCTCATGGTCTTCACTGTACCAGGACTCGATTATAATCGACTTTCGGATCATTACTTATTCATCGGATTAACCTGTTCGTTCTGATTATTAGGTACCTTTTTGTGCGTTGGAGGCTGAATGTCGCAAACATGTTTGTCATCGTCGGCGAAACTGGAGACACCGATTACGAGGAATTGATTGCAGGGGCTCATAAGACTTTGATCATGAAGGAAGTGGTGACAGAGGGTTCCGAAGCGTTGCTCCGAACAATGGACTTTAGAAATGACATCGTTCCTCCGGACAGCCCCTTGATCAAGAGTATTAAAGGTGGAGCAACGCCACAGGAGATATCTGAAGCTTTAAAAGCATTGTCTAAAGCGAGCTTGTGAAAGTTGGTGTTTAGAGCATGAAATGGTAGTTTAATTTCCATATTTCAAATAAAAAATTATTGTTAATGGGAAGTTTCCATGTCTTATAGTATTATTCTATCATGTTTATCCCAAATGTAGATAAGTTTCAAATGGTCTTTTTTCTTTCAGGTTTATAAATGTGCAAACTGGTCTGTAATGGCCGCTGCTGATTTCTATCTTGTATTTCATGTAGATAAATTTTTAGCTACCATTGCTCAAGTTATTTGCATATACATATGGTCGGTGGTGAATTTCCATCCCTTCTGAGATTTAGACTCTTTTTAATTAGTAGTCTCAAATTCTATTGAAAAAATAACAAGAATGAGAGGTGTTAAGCTTTTTATCATCCTAGCGTTGAGTTATTTTTCCGCAGGACCTCCCCTACAGTATTGTCACCGCAGTAAGTTTAACCACCAAGTTCGAGATAGATTGGTGTTGTTTCTCTACGCTTAGGACACCAGAATATCGAACCATAAATTAAGAAAGACATGCGAGAAAAGGAAAAGCATAATTAGTAGTGATTAGGAGGCTCCAATTCTTGATGGAGGGGACATCAAAGGCATCCTACCTTCCATCCCATCGATAGATAGAAAGGGAAGATAGAGAGCTTTTTGGTTTTTTCATGTCAAAGAATTGAACAATAGATTTTTAATGTGACATTCGAATTATTTTTCATTTAATGTGATATCTAATTTAGAAGAAAAATTCAAACCGATCATTCGAAAAAGCACTCTATTTAATTACTGATGTCACTGAATAAATTCTTAAATATAAAATTAAACAAGATCAAAGTTAATACACTAAAGTGACTGTGAATCAAAGAGAAAATTAACTCAAAAGTACACAACGAAACATGTTTTACACGATTGAACTGAGATTATTTTTGAAACTTTCAGAGACATTAACAGAAAAGAGGTGAAAATTGTGATGAGTTGCAAGGTTTATTTGTTGAGGAAGCTGAATCCAGAACCACTCAATTTGTCCTCCATGATGTTGTCGAGCCGATCACCTATCTCATCACTCAAATAATTCCTCCAATCCTCAACTTTCCCCTTCCTCAAGTAAGCGCTGTTCTCCATAAACCCCTCCTTTACCTGCTTCCCACTCTTATTAACCTCTAAATTACTCAAACTCTCAAAGCTACACAACTCTACGATCTCCTCTTTCTTCCTCCAAGCTGAAAGGCACCCAAAGAACTCGGCCAATCTCTTCACACACAATTCAGTCTCCTCCTTCATCACCTCATATCTCAAGAACAATATCCTTTCAGTTCCTCAATGGAAACAAAGGACTCTTCTTTGCCTGTTTTGTTGGTTTCAACCATCTTTTTGAAGAAGTGCCACATGGAAAAGAATGTGTCCTTTGGATCTCTACAAAGGTAGACGATATTACAACGTGAATGTATTATTGATTTTGGCAGACATGTGTATGGAATGTGTGAGCCGTAGAGTGGGATTTTGGGACAACTGGGTGAGTAATACTCGCCGAATTCCAGCATAGGGATGCAGTCGTGGGGCAGTGGCTCCTTTGAGAAAGAAGGAATGGAACCAAAAGTGTAGGTATGAGCGAAGGGTCATCATGGAACTCCAACCGTTTTCTTTCGGGAGAGTTGATATCTTCCCCTCGTATTTTCGCAGGGATTCCGGTGTGTCGTTGGATACAATAGTGAGCTTTGAGGTGGCCAAGGGTTCCATATTTGGTTATGAGGGAAAAAAATAAAAGTTTTTTTCTTGGTGGAAGGACGAGCAAGAAATTATTGTACACTGAGAAGTTATATAATTCATCAAACTCTAGTAAAACACATAATATAAGTATTGAATAAGATATAAATTAGGCTTATCATGTTGTGAATAAAAATCATTTAGGGATGATTTATCATATTGTATTTTTTTAAGGAAGACGACGTTTTGTGTTTACAATAGTATAATCCTAATCTAAATTCAAACAAACTCTTAATCTTAATTTACATCTAACTTTAGATTTATATGTAAATAAATGATTAACATAAGGTGTCATCTTCCTAGCAATGACTATCATCGCCGGATCCATTATCAACATGTCCGTTGTAGGCAGCACAGACAAACTGATTTTAATGCATTTGGGCATGTAAAAATTGTCACATGGCACGTCTAACTATATGACAATATATAAGAGAACACTTGATTAATTATATTATCACCAAGGAAACAGGTCATTGTTAATGACATAACAAGTTCATTAAACAAACATTTCATTCACGTCCTTTCCAACATTATACGCATAAAGTCTTTATTCAATTGAAATGATCAACATGTATTCATATTATTTACAAGTTCAACTTGCATTTGATAGCAACATATTGTAACTACATCACAAGTAGTCATTTTATATCACAATCTAAGCCTGCTTTACCTTATTACTTATAATCGAATCAAGTGTCTGATCTAGAAATTTTTTTCAAGGTGTACACATATGTATTGATAATGAAAATTTTTCATACGAGGTGGGTACAAATAAATTTTTAGGGTAGACATATTTAATAAAATAAACAATTAACATAAAGAAATTCAGATTCTAGGATAGACACATATCTGCCCTAAATTCTACATACATCCTCCACTGACCGAAACCATGCATAAAGCATATCTAACGTGCCGAATTATATTTCTAAGCACATGTTTTAGTATTCATTAATGTTCAAGATCAAAAGATCCAAAAATACTATATCTACTTAAAAAATGATGCCGTTTAGGTCAAATTATCTCCAAAATTTTTCAGCATCTTTTTTCATCTTCGTTAATAGGCGACAATACTAGCGTTAGGGTTTTATATAGGGATGAACATGGGTTGGGTTTCAGCCAATCAAATTCGACCCGAAAATTTTACATCCTTCACCTAATTCGACCCGAAATAATAAGAAAAATATTATTTTTATTCAATAAAAACAATGATTTAATTGAAAAAATAATATATAGAGGGGTATTATTATAATTATTCCTAAATATATAAGGTAAATAAATTCGGGTCGGATCGGATATTTTTCACCCTAAACCCGAATCTAACCTGACCCGAACATCACCTTTAAAAAAATCCGACCCGAACGGGTCAGAACCCGTCGGGTTCGGGTCTCAAGCTCATCCCTTGTTTTATAGCATGATTTAATTTTCAATAAGTTTGCTTTATGGCACGTATTTCTCTATTTTTATAACATGTTTTTCTCTGTCTTTTGACATATTTTTGATATTTTCTATCAGCAGTTTAGTTATTCTTTTCATTTAATTTTCTCATGTTAGATCTGATATCGTCTCGACTGATCAAGATGACACTTATTCATTATTTTGTTAATCTTCTTTGCTTTGGACCCTAATATTGGATTTGGATACACGGTTTGCATCCGAATATAGTCTCATGATGTCGACTCCGATTTACAATTGTCGGTGATCTTTCAATAATTTCATCCATGATAGAGTTTGTTTGTCGATCTTTTGTTCGAGTTTTTTTTATGTGTTTATAACATTTTCCTTGTATCCATTTACGCTTATGAATGTAAGTATTTCACTAAAATTTTAGATATTTTCTCATTTTTTAATAAAACTATCGACTTCAATTTGCATAAAAAACACTCTCTCTACTTTACTGAATTCATCGATTTGTTAGTCTTTCAACTTCTTGTGTTTCGTGTTGAGAAGTCTGGTATTGTTTCTGCTCCCAAACATACACTAATCATTGATAATTTATACTTTTTAATTTGGACAAGAAACACAATCGTTAATTTTAAGAGGAGTGATGAGTTAAAGACGATGGATGATGCGTGGCTTAGAGAGTTCAAATCCCCTTTAGTCTTATATGAGGAGTTTATATAATAACTTTTAGTGTTATGTCATGTCTAGGATTATAGTGAATACTCGTAAATTGATAGACTAAATAAATGTGATTACCTAACGTTATATTTAGTTCTAACATCTGACGCGAGCCATCAGATAATTATATTTCGCTAAAGGTTAAAACATTCCTCCAAAAGGTTCAATCTTGGAAAGTTTTGATATGCAAAAAAGTGAGAGAAAAAGATTTGGAAGAGACATAGCATTCATATAAAATCATTATTAACATATCAAATTGAAATTTAAGGTCTAAAATACTGTTTACTCAATTTTATGAGAATAAGTTTAAATCTCTGACTCGATTTTAGTCCCTCCTTGGTTCATCTTTTAAATCTTTCGATCTTATTCAATTTGCTCCTCAATCCTCCATTCTAACTATGGCTATAATCACTATAAAATTCACGTAAGTTTCTATTTGGATCCTGTTAATTAAGTTTACGCAAATGATTAGTTTTTGAGTAAAAAATTAGCTGATCATTTTTCCCATATGTAATGTCGTAAGGGGGAAGTATGATAATAGGTTGCCCCCAACACTAGGTTGAGAGCAACTTCCGTGGGAGACCTCCGAATTATGAAATGCCCTCCGTGAGACTCGATCTCACGACCACAAGATTAAGAGTATTGTGTTCTACCAATTAAGTTTACGCAAATGATTAGTTTTTGAGTAATTATCATCAACTTAAAGTGAGTCAAATAACAGCCTTTTTATCCAACTATAACCCAAAAAAATTATTTTATAAATCAACACCCGTTAAAGATTAATTTTTAAAATAATTCTCTTTTCTAACAGATAAAGCAAAAGCCGTGCCTAGTCAATCATATTCTTAGAAGGCTTGCTTAACTGAGTGTTTATTTTACCTTACATAATAATCCAATCAACAAATGATAATGAAAAAAAAATTTAATCAAAGACACATTTCTAAAATTTTTAAAATATAAAACTGCATAGACTAAATATGTATTTGGGCTCCATGAATTGAAAATAGTATTGATATTAATTTATACAATGAGTCCACTTAAAAATCAAATTAAATTTTTCTTTAATTTTGTTTAGTCGGTGGTGACACCGATTTTAATATTGGTCGTCGGTTATCATTTTCTTTTTCTTTTTTTAAATTTTTTAATAATAATAAATTTGTCTTTGTGGCACTTTTTTTTGCATCGTTTGGTCTTTTATATTTCGTGTTTTTCAGGGTAGAATTTGACAACGACACGGTTAATCATGATAATGCTTATTTGTAACCTTGTTGATTTTCCTTGCTCTGGACCCTTGGATTGAATTTGGAAACATGATTTTACGTTCGTGGATAATTTTTTACAACACTTGGCTCT